AAACGCCTAAAATAAATGATAAATCAATGTACTATATGATAAACAATAAAATGAACATCCTTACACGACAAACAGACATTTGATTTGTTGTTAATGTTCCTGTTTTATCCGAACAAATAACTGATGTACAACCAAGTGTTTCAACTGATGGTAATGAACGAACAATAGCATTCTTTTTTGCCATTCGACGTGTTCCTAATGCAAGACAAGTTGTTATAACAGCTGGTAAACCTTCAGGAATTGCAGCAACAGCTAAAAAACATATTTTAAGAATAAGTTTTTTTCAAGATAAAAACTTTCGATCAACAAACCAAGAGCAACTGCAATCTTAAAATAATAAATAGCACCGCGAAACCATGAACCACCATGAACAGGATCATTAAAATGACCAATGTTGATTATCCACACTGCTACACAGATAACCGAGATAACCTTAGAAAACAAGAAGAAGAATATTGTACGATTTTCTATATATAAAGTAATACACACTTTTGATAATTGCTCTCCAAATTCATCTAATTTCTGTTGCAATGGTGTTTTTTCTTCTTCAGTATCGGCCATAACAGATTGAATTTTACCTTAAATAAAGAAAAAACAAGATTGTTTTTCTTTTATTCTGATTTCCCATACCTATTTCTGTATTCAAACCAGTACCAATAACAACACCTCGGCATTTTCCTGTTGCAATATTTGTTCCCTAAAAATTTTAACAGAAAGAAAAAAAGTAGTAAAATATTTTCGAATTCATTTTCTTACAGAAAATAAAATATTCTTTTTATCTTGATTGACAGCACGTGAATCCAGTATTGGATCAGTATGTTTAATAACTGACACACTTTCACCAGTTAATAATGATTGATCAACACGAAGTGTTGTTGAATAAATTGTTGTTATACGAATATCAGCTGGTACTTTATCTCCAATAGCTACTTCAACAATATCACCAGGTACAAGATCTCGAGCTTTAATTCGTTGAATTTGTCCTGGACGATTTTGTCTTACAACTTTAGCTATTTCAGGTTCATATTCTTTCAAAGCTTCAATAGCACTTTCTGCATTACGTTCCTATTTTATATGATTTTATGTGAAAGATATATTGATAAATAGACGATTTCAACTTACTTGCCAAACACCAACAGCTGCATTAGCAATGAGAATAAGAAGAATGACAAGTGGCTCGACAAAAGCTGTTATCAGATTATCTTCTTCTTTATGTTCTTCAAATAAAGCTAATACCTATTTGAATAGGAAAAGCACTCGTATGTAATGGAATTGCCTTAGGATAACAAAAACTTCTCAACATACAAACGAAATGCAAGCAGCAGCAAGTAAAATTTTGACTAGAAGATCGTCGAATTGTTCTAAGATAAGTTTCCATAGTGGTTTACCTTCCTCAGTTGGTAGTTCTGAATGAAAAGAAATCATTTTAATAATATATACGCAATTGTTTTTTCTTCTTATTTACCATTAGGTCCATATCTTTCCAGATCTTTGACAACACGTTCTTCGGTTAGACCTAGTTTTTCATCAACTGTATAAAAATTAACAACCTCTTCTTTCGTTTTGGTCCATGGATAATCCAAAACTATTTTTGAAACAGATGAACGATGGTGTATACTAGATCGTTGCATGACAATTTAGATTGAGATGACAACTATAGAGAAAAGAGAAGAAAGTCGTATATTTCTATAGATGATTCACTATATTCGACGTAAAAGTTTAACATAACATGCGCACATATGATGTACACGTACAGACACTCGTTCTGTAGTTAAGCGTGTCGACAGCCTGGAATATCCTTGTAAGAACCGATAAGCATCTAGCATACCAATCAATTTAAAAAGAGTCAATGAAAAAAAAAATAAAACTCTAAAAAATTTTATTTATATAATTTGTTTGTTGGAAAAAATTGTAATAAATGCTCATTTTTATAAAAAGAAAAAAGAACAATAGAGGGCGCTCGTAAGCAGTTTTAAGAAATGTTTACCTAATAAATCATTAGCATATAAGAAACTAAAGGATTTGACAAAAGCAATTATACTTATTTTCTCATTCATCTTATTTTTAGTACACAGCGATTCGTTTAAAGAAAATAATTGCTTTGTATAAGTTTCAGTTGGATTATTGAGTTACTCATTGAATATCAAAATATATTGTCTTGATTCTGAAGAACTATCAAAAACTATTCCATGAATCCAGTAAAAAAAAAATGGCATCGTCGTTTTTTTCTTCACTCATATTTATTTTGGATATTTTATTCGATAAACACAAGAGAATGTTACTTCTTTAACTTGTTCTATACTCATTTTTATTTTATTACAAATGCTCTCAATATTATTTTCATTTCTCTACTGAAAAAGTGGTTTAGTTACTATTCATATAGTGTTTACTCATTTGATCTGCTAAAGAATTGAATCCAAATACGAAATTAATGGAATGCAATATATTAAGGAAAAGATGTTGTGTCAATTTTAGAGCTAAACAAGTACGGATGTTCTCGAGTACGAGTACCTACTCGTGTTTGCCTAGCTATGTTTAATTTTAATGGATACCATGAAGATTAATTCCAAATATAGAGTGCAATAAATGAATAAGCTTTGTTTTTTTTTAAATTTATCAATATAATTAAAGATAAAAAGTATTTCCGCTATTGACCTGTGTCTTTTTTGCAAGATTAATCAAGATTCATACGACTATTGCCTATGTCGTTTGTTCGAGAAAAGGTATTTGAAGATGATGTATTTATAAACTATTTGAAATCATGTATTTGTCATATCGAAACTGTGTTGATTAAGTTAAGCGGTGAAAAGATGATTATTTGTATGAGATCATCGAATTTGACATTTAAAGTTAAGGTTTCACCTAAACAAAAGACATACGTACAAAAAGAACAAAAATTTACACGCTCTTATAAACGACACAATCACTTTTAATCATCTAAAAAAATTATGAAAACCGTCACGATCATCCAAAAAAAAGTCAAATATGTATTGAAACAGGTACTTTCAATGGGATTACATGCTGATCTAGACATTTGTGTTGAATTAATGATCATCTACGATCACTCAAAAGAATCAGAAAGTATTGTTAGCTGACTATTTCCACTATTGAGATCTACAAATCTGACGAGAGAACGTTTTTAACTGACCAATCACTTTTGAATTTGAAAAGTAGATTCGCATGAGATATGAAAAACTTCAAAAAGATAAATGTTCTCAAGTCTTTTGTCCAAAGTTATAGGCATTTTACTAGAGTTTTAGTTTCTAGTATGGTATATACCAACGAATCAAATGATGGTATTTCGATCTGACGTTTCTCTCACAAACAGAACTATTTGTCAGTAGAATGCGTCCTTCTCACGATGTCAATATCCCAAAAAAGAGAAAACTCTAACATGTGCCATGGAATATGAGTGATTTTTGGTACTTGAATATCTTGGGAAGGAAGCATTCTACTGACCAATAGACCTATTTGTGGGAAAAATGTCAGGTCAAGGTACCATTATTCGATTAGTTGGTATATACCATACTAGAACTTAAATTTCTAGTAAAACATCTATAACTTTGGGCAAAAGACCTAAGGACACTCATCCTTTTGAAGTTTTTCATATCTCACTAGAGTCTACCTTTCGAATTCAAAAGTGATTAGTCAGGTAAAAACGTGCTCTCGTGAGACGTACTATTCAATTATAAATAACGTCTAGGAAAATTTTTGGTTACGTATTTTTTTGTAGTCCAAGTAACCAACATAGAAGATTTGCTGATTGATTTTTGGGTGATCGTGAATGATCATATATTTGCACTATGTCTAGATCAATATGTAATCCCATTTGAAGTGATTGATTCAATACAGATTTAACTTTTGCTGAATGCTCCTGATTACCCATGGCTGTTCTTATTGATGTTGATGCTTTCTTTGGGTGATTGTCAATGATGGTGAGATTTACAGGAGTCCGTAAATTTTTCTTATTTCGGCACATATATACTATAAATGTTCTTTGTTGCGATAAAAGATTAACTTTACATATCAGTTTTGATGATGTCATAAAAGTAAGCAACTACTTACTACATAGCTTGATAAAAACAATGTCGATAATCAATCTTATCGAATTTATAACTTCGATACAATAAATACATTTTTCAACGTTGTACTCCTGATAACAATTGTCAAAATACAAAAATATACAGAAAAACGGTAAAATTAAATTTTAGTATCTTTTAATGTTGAAGAATTCGATTTATCCGTTAAAGAGTGTCTGAAAAGTTGATCTCAAATTTCTTCTATGTTCTTACACAAGAAAAGTAGGTTCGTCTTTGTTGAATTCATCAGAGGTCGCTAAACCATAGCATCAGTGGTTGCATCAGCTTCATGTAGCCAATCAGAAAAGATAGAAATACTCCATGAAACATAAGAAAGAGAGTTATGATGGCAGATATATGTTTTAGATGAAAGAATTCTTTGATATTTGATATATGACCTTGAACATTTTTCTCTAGCATCATAAACTTGAATAACCTTGAATATACCTTAGATTCATTCATTTATTTTTTTTTACTCTCGCTTATTGATCATTTAAATATAAATACGAATAAGAATATGAAAAACTTTTTTTTTTTTTATTCTACGACGTCGGACTCTTTTTTTTCTTCCAAAGAGAATAACAACCAACCGATAGAATCGTTTGCCCTTTAATAAAAGAAAAACAGTTTTTTCATAGTGCGGCTTTACATGTAAGAAGAGAAACAAATCATTTCTTTCGGTTTTTTTTCTGCATGATAAACTGTATGCAGCCGATCGTAATGCAACGAGATAAAATACCTTCCTTTTTTTTTCTTTTTTTTTTATTTAGCATGCGTAGAATTACTTTTTTCTTTTTTTTTATTATCGTGAATAGTTAGTCGAAGCAACAAAAAAAGAAAGAAATCAGATCAGCATCGACGAAGAAAGTTGTTTTTTTTTCTTTTAGATAAGTAATATACATAGACAATAGAAATATCAACATGGGTGGTCAAGTTTCTTCTTTCATGAACGCTTTGTATAATTCCAAAAGAAAACAACTTCTTGGCAGAGATGGAGCTGGATGGAGTAAATAAATATAAAAGTTTTAAAAAAAAAAGATCAATTGAACAATGTATTATTTTTTGTTTCTAAATAGCTAAATTAGGTGTTTTTTACTTCTTCTTCTATCTTGGTTTGGCCGGTTTTTTCTGTGCAATGTTAGCCGTTTTTATGGCATTATCGCCGCGTGATCGACCACGATATTATTCAGAATCATCACGTATGGCTACTCGATCAAATCCACTTTCACCTGGTATAAATATTTATTTAAGTAAAAAAAAAATTTTTTTAAACTGGTTTTTCTCTTCAGGTCTTGGTTTTCGACCTCAACCAGAAGCTGATAAAAATATAATAATCGTTGACAACAGTACTGAACGAGAGAAACCAAATATTTATGTTAAAAGTCTTGAACAATATCTTCAAATTTGTAAATAAAATCAATCGTTGTTTTTTTACTTTTGTTGCTAAAAAATCAAATATTTATTTAGATTATTGGAAAGACGATAATGTTGAAAAAGGAGGAAATGATGGTGACGAAGGAGATAAAGAAAACATGGGCGAACCTTCAAGAAAATTTATTATTGAAAAACCAGGTCCATGTACAAGTGATAATCAATATGGTTTTGCACAAGGAAAACCATGTGTACTTGTTAAAATGAATAAAGTAAAATTAAATAATAGAAAAAATATTGATTAAAAATAAAATACTTTATTAGATTGTGGGTTTTGTACCAAAACCAGGTTCAACAGCGGAAGAAAGAGAAGTATATCAAAGCAAATGTGGCCATAATCCCTCGGCTATTGCAGTCCGTTGTCATGGAGAAGTCATTATATTATTTAATTATTTACACGGAAAAATCAAATTATTTTTTATTCTAGTATCCCGCTGACGAAGATAATATTGGAAGCTTAACTTATATATCAGAGAAAGGTGTTAGTAAAAATTGTGGTGCACTTGAAACTTCATGGTTTCCTTATGAGTATGATGAAATTTTTTTTTTTTGTTTTGTATAAATAGATTGATCTATTATTTTTTGTTTTACTTTTGTAGAGGCAAAACGAATCGTCGTGATACATATCAAGCACCATATATTTGGGTTCAATTTGATAACCCAAAACCAAATGTATTAATTAATGTTCTATGCCGTATTTACGGTCAAAATATTGATTATGATAAAAAAACAGGTCGAGCTATTACACGTTTTCAAATTTATGTTCAAGGTGAACAACAACGTGTATCTTCACGTCGAAGTGGAGATGTTTAAAAACTTTCTTCTTCCGTGTGTCAAATATTTTTAGCAAAAAAAAAATAATTAATATGTAGTCGAATGAAAAACAGTGCTGTTGTTTGCGTATGTTTTATGTATCACTATTTTTTTTCTTTTTTCTTATAGTGACCTTTTACCTTCTTTTTTTTTCTTTCTTTTTTGTGCAAAATTCAAACAAATTCATTTTTATTCGTATTAAGAGAATGTGTTGCTTGAATGAGTTTAATCATTAGTTTTTTTTTTTATTTTTCTTCTCTTTTAATTGTAACAGTATTGTCTTTGTGAAATGATTGTGTAGTTTGAAATGAAGTAACTTTAGTAGATGTCGAAGAAAACAAATAATTCAATAAATTTTTCTTTCTGTAACAACTAATATATACTAAATATCGATTGAATATGAATACTCATTAAAATAGTCACATATATTTCTTTAGAGTTTGTTGAGAAAATATATCAATCTTATTATAAAATATATAAGTTAACAAATATTAAAATCTTAAAATTGCTAAGAGGGATTGTGGATACGCACTACTAATATTTTTATCATGGGAGTTGTATTTTATAACATTGCTTTTTCTATTTTGTTTTTGATTAATTCTCTTTATTCTAATGAAATATTTAAAACTTGAGAAAATAAAATCAAACAATCAATGGAATTTCAATGGACAAGTAACTATTTCAAAGTGTTCAATCGATTTTCACTTTCGATGATTGCCATTCAATCGGTCAGGATAATTATTGAAAAAGTATGTTTTTGTTTGGTTGTCCAATTTTTGATATTTCAAGCTGACATTTTATTCACAGATCGTCCTTATAGTCACTAGAAACGTCCTAAAGTTTGAGCTAGAACGAACGTATTCTAGCTAAGACATTTACAATTTAAAAAACACGTGTGTTTTTCAAAAGAAGAACATTTCTACGACCAGTTTACGTTTCAAAACAGATATATTCGTCCTAGCTCAAGCTTCAAGTATTTCTAGTGACTATAAAGACGATTTATGAACAAAATTTCAGCTCGAATTTCGTTCATCCAAATTCCTAGCGATTCTATTCTTAGTGGACGAAAATTGAATACAATATTTTAAAGAAAATAAGGGAAAACTGAAGAACCCAATTCAAATAGACCTTTTTATTACTTATCATGACCAATGGAATGCAATAATCTCAAACGAAAAACGATCGAACCATTGTGAATTTTTCCTTATAAGATAAAAAAAGTTGTTTCAGAAAACTATTCTAAATATGTTTGGATGAAAAAAATTCAAAAAATTATTCTTATACATTCGGAGATAATGTGACGTTTTGACAGCATCATATTATAAAATAATATTAGAATGTGATACAATAACTCAGCGTATGAAAATACACATGTTGTCTTTCATATTATCAAAAACATTAATATCTACTTAATTACATTTACGAACATGTCCATTAATATTTCTTACATACTTGATTTATTGATGATAAAGCTATAATTAGATTGCATATCCTTAATAATTCCAATAATAAAAATGATTATATGATGTTTGATTCTTTTCTATAAATATACACTTTACTTAATTGTACAGCTGAAACAAGTACGAATGCATCATTTTGTTGAAAAGCTAATGAAAAATATTTTGTTTTCTTCTATTTCGTTTATTATTTACACTGAATGATCTGAAGTGCGCATAACTTCGTGTAAATATCAATTAAGTCACATAAGTAAGATGTACAATCGAAAACATATATCATTACAATATTGCAATAGAATTACAAACATCTTACTACATCGGCGTATTTACGTATATACAATCTACAAAAATAATGAAATTTAATACTTCATTAAAAGAGAAAAAAATGCTTCTCTCACTGTTGATTTACTTTATATGTGGCGATATAGCACACGAAATAAATTTTGATGCTTTTATTTCAATGTTTTAGCAAGTTTTCTTTCGACGACATTAGCTTTATCTAGCTAAACAATCTAATAACTCAACTGCATAGGAAAAATTTCAATCTACGAGGAAAAAGTAAGTGTAAAACAACACAAGAAACACACAATAACTCTGTAGACATGTTTAATATTTGGTATGAACTCTTAATGGATTCGTTATTTTATGAAGGAAAATCTCCAAGTGTGACCTGCCAATCGAACTGATATTTTACTCATAGACAAATCTGATAGATCTTATAGACTACCCTTAAAAATTTCAGTCTAAATAAACATGTTTTTATTGAGATATCGAATGTTAAAAACACTTCGCTTTCCTACCTTTCACTTTGACACAGGATTGTTTTAGGATATTCAATGTTTCGAGAAAAATAAATTTCCTTAGGCTGAAATTTTCAAAGTATATTCGCTACCATTTCACACAGTAAAACTATTGTCGGATTTTTTTAAAAATAGCTTCTTCCATTTTTTGAATAACACTCGATTGCTGATAGCTATCGAGCTCGGATTTTCACCATTAGAAAGAGCAAGTGAGGGGACATCTATCTATATAAAGTTCATAAGGTTCGAATAAGTTATTCATGAATGTTTTTGAACAAACATATTTTTCGTTGTCCATTTTCATGAGTTTTCACAAGAGTCTACGTTCAAATTATATCAAATTCTAGTCCAAAACGAGCTTTATTCCTGGCAAAATGTTCGTATTTTAAAAACTATAGCTTTGAAGTGTTGGGTCAAATAAACTATAGAGAGATTTAAAAATTTTACCAGGAATAAAGCTCGTTTTGGGCTAGAATTTGGTATAATTTGAGCATAGATTCCTGTGAAAACTCATGAAAATGGACAACGAAAAAGATGTTCATTCAAAAACATTCATGAAAAACTTATTCGAACCTTATGAATTTTATACAGATAGATGTCCCTTCACTTGCTTTTTCTAACGGCGAAAATCCGAGCTCGATAGCTATAAGCAATCGAGAGTTATTCAAAAAATGGTGGAGGCTACTTTTAAAAAGTTCGACAATAGTTTTGTATTTAGTAATAATAAAGGACGAATAACTTTTCGCAATGAAACGAATCGAACAATATAAATGAATACTCATTTTGACACACTTCTTATTGAAACATTACATAAGGAAAAAAGAAATCAGTTTCAAAAATAAAGAAAATTCGTATTTTTAGGACAAGATCACTTTTAATGCACCGAAAAAGAAAGTCACTTAGAAGAATAGATAACATAAGATGCTTGAACATGTTGATCACACAAATAAATATATGAACTGTATGTAAAGTAAACATATGTTGTCCAAAGTCAGTAAGGCAAAATTCCTGTTTCAGCTTTAGACACAGAAAATTGAATCCGAATTATTCAATGAAAACAAAAGTTATTACATGAATATAATGAGAATCTGAATCTTTCTGCAAAGTTCTATTTTACTTAAATATAGTTTGTTCAGAAAAACTTACGAATTGAATTTTAATTTATTCGTTTATCTGAATGATGAATTTCCATGAAGCAAACAATAATAATGACCATGAAAAATAGACAAATACTAAACATGCACACAAGTAATCTTTTAACTCTACTAGAACTTTAAGCTCTAGTCGTTTCACGATTTCATGATGGAAGATCTTAGATATAACCCTATCTGATCGAATTCCTTATTCAACGACACGTCAAGCATTTAAATACAAAAGCAAACCATGTTGTTTTCATAGCAAACCGACGAGTACTGTTTGTTAAGTGTATTATGTTTTACTGGAGAGCAAGAAAAATATTGATTCTATAAGAAGTTTAGTGTATTATTTATGATCTGTAGGTAATTTATTCTTTTTGTGCCGGAGGAAAGGTAAGTGAAGGCTATATATACTATACATATAATTATTATTTTCAAGTTTCATAGAACGAAAAAGATTTCTCTTATGTTGTTTTTTGAGAATTCACTTACAACATCATTAATGACAACGTCAAATATAAATAAAAAAAGAAAAAAAAAGAAAGAGAAATATTACACACATGTAGATTATAATAAAGTGAAGCATAGTAAATGTACTCTTACATGAATGTAACAAAAAATTATTAGATCAAATACATAGACTTCAATATTGACGGAATCAAGAACAATCTTATTGAAACGTACAGTTCGTAGAGTTCTTGTCTATTGTATATATGGTGATGTAGCAATGTGGAATGAGTTTTGATGTTATAACATGTATGTCATGTAAAGCAGTTTTTTTATTGAAAAAATGTACCACGAAGATCAATAGGTCAATATTTATCCAAAAAAACAAAAAAAGAAAAATCCATTTTAATTGAAATTATCAGAGCGGACTTAAATATGAACTTACTAATGATGTATTATAACACAACAGACAACTGGTAAATGTTCCAGTTGTCTTTTAAAATAAGGTTTCTCTCTTGAAAGTTATTTAAACATAATGTCATCAGTTTTTATGTCGTTAATTCCTCTGAAATTGGCTGCTGAAACAAGTGCTTAGAATTTCATAATTACTACCATGTGCATATAAGGTTTTTGCCAGCGACCTGCAAATTTGGTTATCCAATTTACATCTTCATAAAGAGATTTTTTCGAGCTTTTGAGTGTCAAGACTCGTAATTAGAGTGCACAGAACCATAGCACCCACATTAATGCAAAAAGATTAACTCATGAGTTCTATATCAGTTTTGTTTCTGATTTCATTGTCTTCAAATTGTTATATTTCTAAACGATTCAAACAATTCTTATTGAAAATAGTGATTCAAGAGATGCATCGACGCCTTGAAAGCATACTCATGACGTGTGCAAACATTATTGCTTTTGAACTCCATTGAAAAATACAATCAGAACAGGGTAGGATATGAAAATATCATCCTATGAACATAGATGGTTTCCACTAATACTGAAAAGACTTATATTGGATATTATAAGATTAAATGATTAACTTGAAGAATATTTGCTTGAATGACTATGACACGACGAAAGTTACTTTCTTGTAAAAATGCATGACCTTAGCACAACGCTTTATTTACATTCAGAGGCCGATTATCGAAGACGTTGAAAGAAAGAAAGAAATTTTTCAACCAGATTATATCTGTTTAATTAGTGTACCACGATAATATTACCAATTGAAATTATCGCGTTATATGTTTAATATATGCTTCTATACATTGTTGTTTCTTTTAAGTTGAAATGCCGAAAGACGGCAGGAGCCTGAAAGTGGAAATCCAGTAGCCTACTAGCCACTAGTTACAAGAGCACGATTGTAAACAGTCGTTTGAATAGCACAATACCACGACTGTGTTTCAACGTATTGTAAATAGTCGGATACTCGATTTTCGGATCGTTATCAATTGTGTACGGTACCATAAATAATATTCGTTATGCTGCATCTACCAAAAACCAATTTAGAGAACCATTTTTGCCCACCTTGGCGACAATAATCTTCATCCTGAATTTCCATCATTTTCTCGAGCTTTTCAGCCGAAAAAGGCGTCTTATCGGCGGCTTCCTGTTGACAATACTCGGATCCGAGTGCCGAAATCCCTCACCTAGGCAAATGAAAGGTGCCAAGATATTTAATACATCTTCACCCACACCCACACCACCCACCCACACCCACCCAGTAACATCTGATGAATGGACTTTGTTCTTTCTAAGATTAATCATGATTATGATGAACAAAATATTATTTTACAAATTTCAAGTTGTTTTCAAGAACAATCATTTTTACCAGGAAAACTTCGGTGTAAAACAATCTAATGCACTTGATCTAATCAGTTTACTTTTACAATTATTCAACCATTTATAGAACATTCTTCTAATTTTCATAATTTACTAACTGATATTCATCGACTCCTTCTACAAAATAATATAAATAGCCTCATATTCAAGATATCAATATGTATTTCTTGAAGCTGTACGACGTTGAAACCTATCTAGTAAAGAGTTATTTAGATGTATTCTAATCGACTGAATGAAATTAGCAATGAGCAACATACGGAAATGATAGAAGTTATTATTGAAAATACTACCCGTTCTTTAACTTTAGATAATTAAATAGCGTTATATAAAAATTATTTTGTCTTATAATACACATTATTTAAAAATAAAAGTTTTAAGTCTTATTTATCTGATGTTATACAAGTTAAAACTGATAACTGGAAAAAAATTTTCTCATAGAAAACAAAAGAAAAAAACCTGTTATTTCTTATTGTAGAAAATAAATATTTGTTTTAAGTACATTTTATGTTGAAGAACCAAGGGTTATGTGTCCGTGTTCACTATTACAAACGATAAAGGAAAAGCATTTTTCTTTTGTTTTTTATGTTTAAAAAATAGAAAGGATTCTCAATCTTCTTTTCTTGGCTTTTGCTATCGATTCTTTCTAATACTACATAAGTTTTGTTAGTATAATATACACTGTGATGAAAATTGAAAGAAAACAACAAAAAAATGTAGGACTAAAGAACTCAATGTCATCGTGTGTCGGATGGGAATGAAATTATTTTGATAGATGACAAAAATGTTTGAAAAAAATTTTCCAGAATATGAACAAAGAGAAAATATTGACTAGACATCATCCTTAGATGAAAAGAAAAAAACAATAGCAACTGTTATAAGTACTCTAATTCTCAAAGACAGAAACTCCAAAAAAACCGAAAGATTAGTTTCTGAGCACCTAGAATAGGTAAGTATAATTTTGTTTACACTACATATAACGATAGAGCAAACAATTCTATACTACTGGAGACACTACTGAGTTCTCTAGAACGTTTCTAAGCTAAAAGGCAGCAAACTTGCGGAAGTCCCTAAAGTCGTTGCTTTTCAATTTCCTATAGACAAACCATTTTTTTACCTTGAATCAAATTACTGCAGCTCAAGCAAAATGCCATAGCAGAGAACTCGGAAATGTCTCATTTTGTAGAGAATTCTTTGCTCTATTGTTCTAAATAGTCTCAGCAAAATTATAGCTATGCGCTTCAGTTCTTGTTGGAAACTATTTTTTCCATTTAAATCACTATTTGGATTACTTCTAGAGTTTACCGCAGCAAAAAAAAAATCGAAAATAAATCTTGTTGAATAATGTTTATACTCATTGTATATCTATGTAGTTTCTTCAATTGACCTAACATTTTTGGATGAGAATGTTTTTCATCGAATATAATGTCTGGTCTTTCTAACAATAATGCAATATTTCAAGGCATACTTTCATACTTCAGTTTTGAATAGCAGCTGTGATATTTATCTACTTTTGTTCGATATAATTTGGTAAAGACAGTATTCAACCAAGATTAAAACAATAATGAAGAAGATAGAAACACCAATTGTTCGCTATTTGCTATAAAGTTGGTCGTTGCTATGTAAATCATTTCTATTTATAATGCGAATGCTATAGAGGTCAAAGAAAATGATCATCGATCGAATAAGAAGATTTTGATACTAATTTATTAATAAAGATAGAAAATAAATAATTTCAAATAGGGTCTTATCATCACATTTATAATATTATAAGTTCATCATATTAAATACTTATTTGATGAATAATAGTCTTACGGAAAGAAGATTAATAACTGAAACATAAATTCTACTAATACCTAATTGTTGCTAGAATGTTGACAATTTCGAATCAAAGCAAAGAAGTGTTGATGTTCATGTTTCGAAGAAAGACTAGACGTGAATAGTTATGAGCATACTGAAAGTAAAGACTCATATCTACATGAGAGTACAAATAATTTACCTCACTCTTTTATTCAAGCGAGAAGAACATATAAATTGTCATAATAGCATTTTTTCACATGGAAACAGTATTTACTAAGTATGGCCAGGTGTGATCAATTAGAGTGTTATTTTAAAAAGAAAATCGATGGTACTACGGCATTTAGTGTAGTCGATAATTTATGTTTTCATATATTTAGAATCGTACTATATCTAAAGAACAAGAAATCCTAGAGCATCGATAACACTGCCGGGTGCTTCTAACCGTTTCAAAATAAACTATGTGTATAGATCAAGTTTTAAAGCGGATACTTGGTATTAACTACCAAGACAAAAAAAGTCAATAGACTGCTATGACGATTTTCAGAAATTCAGCTTGGTTTTCAGATGGTCCCTTGAATAAGCAGTTTTTGAGGTTTTTTTCTCAGAAAATACTTCGCTTATAAAAATATACCTTTGACTCTCTTGGCTATTATACATTGAACAACCACAGGTCTCTATTTGGTTTCTATGAAAAGTTATTCAAAAAAACATCGAAGTATCTTATATTCTGCCGTCGATAATAGTCTTCAGATTTTTACAAAATTATACTAGCATATCGTTAATTATTGATGAATATTATGATTGGGTAAAATTGTAAATGATACAAAAGAAATCACCTGCGCCATTGTATGTCTTAAATATATCGCAATGAACTGTGATGATGTATTTATTATTTAATATCTTTATATTTGCCATTCAATTCTGTATGATTTGTGAAAAATGTCCGCTGTAATCAAACTTAATCATTCAAGTAAAGCGATCATAGCAAAAAAACAACAGTAAAAAAGTTGATTTTGAATAAAACATATTACCATCTGAATTTTCTAGGATTGGTTAAAAGGACGAAATAAATATCGATTACGTTTATTTAGTGAAAAAACTCACAATTTTTTCTCTTGGGATGATTCTTTTTTTCGTTTGCCATTCATTTTTTTAATAAGTGTCCTTAACATGGCTTTGAGAGTGCATTTTGTTTGCGAGTGGTGAATCATCCAAATACATACAGTGTTCTCAATGCAAGCTGATATATAAACCTATACATTTTTTTACCTTACTCTCATAAATACCATGTCGATTTATATTTATTTTGTACTGCTACTGGCAAACACAATATTTATCCATGTCAATTCACAAGATCCTATAAAGAGTTATTCTATTCGTAAAGATTTCTTTAAAGGATTCAAAGCAGGCGAATTTTCCATACGTGATCCTACTGGAAAACATCTTTATTATCGTATCGAATCCAATTATGCCGTATTGCATAGTCTTAAGCTCATTGCTTATCCATCAAAACAAGAAGTTGGTCAATTAAAAGCTGTAATAAAACCATTAGTATACAAAGCAGAAATTTCAATTTTAGATCCTGAAAGAAATCAATTTGTTAATGGTTTAATTGAACAAAATTTACAATTATTTGGTAGTTTATTTAATATTGATTGGAATGGTAATCATTTAAAAATGGAAACTGATGTTGGCTCATTTACAACAAAGTTTCTTGATGAAAAGGGCGAATTGTTAGCACAATTCAGACTACAACCTAGTTCGATATTTTGGACAAAAAAATATGATATGCAAATATTTTCCACCAAATATCCAGAACAAATTTATTTTTTAGGATTAGCCGTTCGTGATCATAATGGTTCACAGAACAGAAGTGGATAAAAATTTCTCGTCATTAACTTTACAATTCAATGAATGATTTTTTTTGGAACTGAATATAAACGAATAAATAAAATTTTAGAAAGAACATAGCTATTTCATCTATAGAAAAAACAGATTTTACCTAATGTCTACAAGTACACAGTAGTTTCATAACCATGAAAATGTTTGGACTAAATTACAAAAAAAGATTAATTCAAAAGTTCTACAACTTTCTCAAATCTTTGAATATCGTTTCAACCTATGGTTAGATTAACCCTTCACGGCCGGATGTTGCCAAATGGCAACATTTTGCCAATATCATCTTAGGGTTTATCTTAAAGTGATGAGATATAGTTTCTTAAGCGATTTGATAATTAATTACATGCATTTTAGGGAAAACCTATGCCTTTTCAAGAAAGGAGAAAGCTATTATTGACGAGAGGGATGAATTCTCCCGTCAACACCCGAAACAGCCCCCGAGTCGAAATGATCTGTTTTCCATTTGTGCGAGCACTAGATGAGAGAAGTAACTAGTGGTTAATTTTCCTCTCCAGATCCATTATCTATTACTAGCGAGAGCCCGTGCATACTGCACGGATGGTTTTTTCCTGTGAAGTTTCACTTCTGTCCTTTAGCCTTGATTGAAAAATAGACAAAAACCCAGTTCGCATTATATATATATATATATATATATAGAGATCGTACAGCCTGATACCCTTGTAGGCTCATACTCTTGTTGTAGTACTTCTTTTAGCCTTATTCCGTTATTTCCTTATCCCTTATATCCTTTCCAGCTTTATCCATTTATACCATATACCCTTATCCCCTTATACTCTTTTAGTTTTATCCCTTATGCCCATGTAGCCTTAGCCTCTTATGCCCTTTACTCTTATATCCTTATCTCCTTATTCTCTACTCCCTTATAGCCTTGTAGCCCTTGTGGACCTATGGGTACCACAATACAATAGCCCTTGAGGACCTGTGGCTTCCTCAATATAATAGTCCTTGAGGACGTATGGGTATCCTCATAGGATAACCCTTGAGCACCTATTGGTACTAGCATAGGATAGCCCTTGAGGACCCAGACGTACCCCCATAGGATAGTTCCTGCGGACCCAAAGGTACCCCCATAGGAATAGCCCTTGAGGACCCAGGGGTACCCCATCGCATAGTCCCGAAGGACCCAGAGGTACTTCCATATAACAGCTCCGGGGGACCCAGAGGTAC